TCGCGAGAATTATAACACGGTGAAGTGAAGCTTACGAGAATGATAATTCGGCGGAGTGTAATCCGCGAACGCGACAGAATTCGAACGTATTTTCGGCGGATGGACGGTCCGTCGAGCGTTTCCGAAATCTCAACCGGTTACTGTGACGCGCCGCGGCGTTCGTTTAGCGTTTGTCGCCGCGTGAAACTGGTTTCTAGTAGTTTCACGATGATAATTGTCCCGGGATCTCCAATGTTTTTCATCTAGCATCTCGGATTCCCTGAAATCGGGTGACGTAAGCTACGAGCACGCCATGACCTAAAACAGTTTCCCTTTCTTTCCTACGATCGGGACGCTTCGGTTGCTAACTTTTCGTATAATTGTAAATGTAAATATGTTTGAAACGAATGTAGTACCGTTTATTTGTATCATTGACGTAAACAGAGTGTTGAAAACGAAATGAGATCGAGTTAATAGAAAATAAAAGAGAAGAAGAAGTAGTTAAAGGGTTCAGATAAATATCAATTAGTTATCTCATTCCCTCCGGTTAACAGGTTGAAGCCGATGCGGTTCGATTTGGAGCCAACAAACAATCGACGGATAAAAGGCACACGATTTCATTCAGGGAACCCGGATCGTTGTTACTGAAATTCTGTTGATCCTTCGCGTTAATCACGACTATTTACGTAACCAGCTGTTCCGAATACTTTCCACTCGTGGAAGACCGAGGGAGCAAGTTCGTAACTTCGTCGGAGCCACTGAACGGATTATACCGTTGATTGTGTAGAACGAAGAGTAGAAGTACCCGACGTGAGCCCAGTTTTAAACTTCATAGAAACACGCCGTCTATTCGCCGCCAAACCCTCGGACGAAACTTCGAGGGGGGAATACGCGAATCTTCGAACTCTGTTGCGAAAGTAAATCGGCATAACCGCTCAACAAGTTAGTCGCGCATTAATCGTATCATTTCCCCTTGTAAGCGAACAATAATAGACCGCGATGCAATAATACTTGCACAATTAACCGCGACGTTAAACAGCCGTAAAATGAGAACAATATTCACGAAATCCAAAGGGACAGAAATTTAAATCCTGCTACGAATACTCGTGGTCGAGTATCGATCACATTTACCACATTGACCCTTAATAGGAATCCCATAACACGGAAGTAATAATATCGAAATTTCTGATTCAGTGTACCTATACAACAAGGGTGTTGAGACAAATTCTTAATGAATAATAAATTATTTAATAACAAGTCTGATAAGTTTGATTGAAAATTTGATACTTAAATAGTTCGAGTTGTTGCTTGCCGTAACTTTACTCCTGGGATCGGTAACAATCAATGTGACGCGACAACTTGCTCATTTACAATTCTAAGTTTCCTTCTTGAAAACATTGATGGATAAACCCTAATTATCACAACATACATCTGACATTCTTTTTCGCGGCAAATATTCTCGCGTGGCGTGCAACCAATGCTCTGCATCGCGGTAATCGCAGACGTGACGATGAAAGTTCCACGTGCGGCAGGATACTCACCTTTGATTCCGATCTTGTGAAAAATCGCAGCATTCTGAGTTTGGAATTCGTAACTTTCTGAACACCGCGTACGCGATAGCGAGCACCGCGGCTTGTTCGGTACCTCGGCGCACGGTTCGCAGGGCATGTAAACCGCGTAGATGTAAACCGGAGCGCGCGAGTGTTGGTCTAGGGCGTCCTCCGCTTCCTCGCGTGGAGGGACGCACATAGCCGATGGTACATCTAGCCAAGGTATACAGGGTGATCCATGTAACACGTTCGGTCTTGATTACCTAATGTCGAGCACGCCAATTTTTATTTCTTCTGCCGGATAATTGTTCGCTTAACAAAATTTAACCGAATTTTCTCCCTTTGTGCTTTTATTCTTCTCATTAGCCATTATTTCTATCCTAAATACCTTCAAGAAAGTTATAATATCATATAGATATATATGCAGTATAATTACTCTTTTATACGGCTTTCGAATGAAAATCATGATTTCAAAGTACCTTCGCAATATGAAGACTGAAAACCGTGTACACCACTCGTACACCATTACCAATGACGAACAGCTATATTAACCGTGACAAAAAATATTTGTTATTACTGCATAATCAACAAACCAATGATGTAACAAGTTGCAATATTTGATAAAGAAAACTACTATGTTCCCGTATTAGGGTTTTTCGTTGTCTATGGCATAAGTGCTGTCCCCGTAGCGGGGCCTTTCGACCGTTAAGGGTTGAAAAAGCAAAAAGTTCCGTTTACCGTGCAACTGTCAGTAGATAATGTTAGGCTCGAAGTTTTGGTTCCTTCGACAACAGAAATGAAGCGTAGGAAGTTCGTTTCAGGCGTGAGCTGAGGCTGGATATCGCAGTTGTGCTCGAAACGTGACGAGTTTGAATACCCGCGGAAAAAGTAGGTGTTTAATGCGTGTCGGACTACGAAAATGATCAGGGATGGGTAAGCGATGTGGTTCAGCCTGTAGAAAGCAGCAGCAGGGGCTAGGTACTATCTAGTATCTAGTAATACCGGGTACTAGGTAGGTACGCGCCGCGGACGCCAAATAGTGGTTCGCATATTCAGAGAGATAGCGACGTCGCTCGGTGCGATCGCCCCTGATTTAGGCCTCGTTCCCTATCCCCGTCTCGCTCGCTCCCTTTCTGTTCACCGTTTGCCTCTCGCTCCGGCTCTCTCTCTGTCTCTCTTTCTCCGCGTCCCTCCACCTTTCCTTCGCCCTCGGTCGTTCCATCTCCCAACGCGCGCCAACACGCTCAAGATCTCCGTTGTATGTTCGTCGGTGTTCCCCGGGTGCGCGCGTGTGTATAAGGGCACACATAGCACTCTGGTCGCGTCCACGGATAACGTCCTCGATACGGCGGCCAGCAGCGGCGAGCACGACGTCGGGGCGTCCCGAAAAGCGCTATCTCGCGGCTCCCCGCTCGAAGCCCGACCAATCAGCGCTTCGATCCGCGCTTTCGACCGTCGCGCTTTGATCATGTACCCCGCGGACCGATACCCACGAGCATCATCTCGGCGTAAATCACGTCCGCTCCGTCCACTTCCGTGGACGTAGATCGGCCCAGGCCGGGCGAGCCTGGCTGGCGGAATTATCGGGCGCTTCTGTACCCGACGAAATTAAAAGATTTCTGGTCCTTTCGAAATTGTCGTGATCTCGTATCCGACTATTTCACTGATCGTAGGTGGACTAGTTTCTCATTGTTCGCTGCTGGTCGATAAAAATGGGAAAAGTAACATATTAATTCATTCGACTGAATTGCATTATTATTGCACGTTAATCTAGCTGAATGTCACCCTATTAGAGAGTATTATGTGTAATATAGAAATGTTTTCAAATAATCATCTTTTAGTTGAGTCTACTATAATAATTCGATTTCGTTGGGGATCACCGATGACCCCCATTGCATTCAACGTGTTAAAAATTCAGAATCGCTTGTATTCTCTGGTCGCTCGATATATTCGAATTATCAGACTTGTTCGGAAGGGAAGCTTCGTGATCATGAATTAACACGATTTATTTGGTAGTAACGAATTTTGATTTTCTTGTATTGTGGTAAAATTAAAGATACTTTATTATTAATGAGATTACTTAATTATTAATATCCTCTGGAAAGAGTAATTACTTTAACCCTTTATAGGCGAACGTCATTTCTACGAGATGAAAGTCGCAAACAAATGATTTGATTACTCGAACAGCAAGAGATCAGCACGTACTTTCCCTTAATTTATCTTTATCTCTGGAAGGTTTTGTACATTTCAAAGAATCTTCGTCCGCGGAGGGTTAATAAGGAAACTTGTTATGGTTATAAATTGAATAAAGAAACGCACAGACGTAGATATTAGGTGTTATCGCATACGATAAGTACGTAAGATTTTATTCGCGTCACTGTTAAAATTCACACGCGAAAATATTTCTCCGTGTCCCATTAAGCAGAAATGCTTTTTGAATAATAACGGTGAAACCTCATCGGCGATCGTTTCAGCTAGCAGCATAACGGACTGAGACCGCGAAATATGGCTGTATCACAGTAAACACGCTTTCCACGATCGAACTATTGGTCGCTGATAATATCTGGGAAAGGTCGCGCGAACCTTGAAACTATCCCCAACACTTTCGATATTTCGCAAACGTTAACCAAAAATTTCGCGGACGATTAAGAACCGTTATAATTGTACCATATGACGCGCTGATAAAGACGTCAGGACCCGACGTCGTACCATCTGCTTTAAAGGGCTCCGTGGCACGGGAAAGTCTTCGAATCTTTTCACCGGCGAATCAATTTCGCCCTCGAGAAAGTAAGTTATACCAGGAATTTATAGAGCACATACGATCCCGTCGCTCGTAAAACTGTAAACGGGTTCCGCAGTAATTACCCGATTCGTTTACATCGGAAGCGGACCTTATGAACTCTGTTACACATATCACGAGGAAAGGGGTTATAAACCGTTCATTCCAATCGGTCGACCAGCGAAAGAAAATCGTTAACGTTTACGTCGGTGGGCAGGCTGTGTTCGGTGGGTTCGCCGCGCGAGCACGTTCCGCTCAAAAAACATCTGCGTCCTGGTCACGCGACGGATACAAAATCTTCGACGGACCGGCCGGTTATTAGAACGGCGATTCACCGAAAAGTTCGCGGTCTCTGTTAATTTCACAGTGCAGCGGCACCGGTAAATCCTATATAGGGGGATGTATTTATAGCGGTGGCGGGTGTCGTATATCTCGCGATATTCACGCCGCAGAGAGAGACGACGGGTTCCGTCGAGGCTGTAAATTATCGCGCGCGCGGAACATGTAAGTTGATGGTTGAGAAACACTGAGCGCAGCTGCCGCGCGGCGCGGCGCGGCGCGGCACGGCGGCGGTATCTCCGCGTTGTCTGCTACCTCACACCCTCGTCTTGCGTCCCACGTGGGTGCCGGCCGAAGGGGTCGCGCGGAACGAGGGTGACGAGGAACGGGAGGCGGGCGGGTGGGCAACGCCAATGGGCGAGGAAACGGGACCGAGGGCGATGGAAGGCGGCGGGGAGAGGCGGGAGGGAGGGGGATGGTCGGAGGATAGGGTGAGGTTAGGCTAGGTGGACAGAGGGGGCGGAAGTGGGTGAAGGGGTCGAGGGATAGCCACCACCACCCACTGACCATCTCTGCCCTACCCTGGCCCAGGCTTACGCGTTCTCGCAAAAAAGACTGCCCCCTCCCCTGCTCCAAGACACGAAAGGACGAAGGCGCCCCTCGGACGATTTTCGGAGTACCTTCAGGACCTTAGAAATTGATCGGAAACAGACGAATGTTCGGAAACCTTGAAATCGTACTCCGTTCGGAAGAAAGAACCGGGAGAAATGTGTTTTCGGGAGGATATGACAATTGACCCTTTTCACGGATTTAATATCGTGTATGCGTATCACTGTGTTCCAGTGATCTCCTTTCCTTTTGTTCGACTACTGCATCTTTCTCTTTCTATACACCGTTCAGTGATTCCCGCGGCACGGTGCAGTAAATTCTACGCGTAGATCATAATACAGTGACGTAGGTCAGGGACCGAGAATACGCACGAGCTGCCACGTGCTTGCCGGCGTGTTTCAATGTGTACACTTCTCGTATGGACGATTAGTAACTATGTGTGCGATGTATTTACTCTTTGGTATTGTTATTATTATTACTTCTGCGTTTTCATGTGAAACTAACGGTAACTGGTGATCTCCTTTCAACGTGACAACACTTGGTAGAGCAGAGTGCACGAGTACCGGTCGAAGCAAGTGTCGGTGTTGTGTTAAGTGCTCCGTTTTATCGACTGTCGATATTTCGTGGTTTATATCAATTTATAATAATTTTGATTTCTTTTGTGTTTACAGCCAAGAAAGCTACGTTCTCCAACTTGGCTGCAGAAATTCCAGAAAGGTAATTGTTTCGAGTGCGCAACATTTCTAACTAGTTTGCTACTGGGCCAAGGATACAACGCGTTCGTGGTAAGCGGCTACGCAACGAAGGAGCAAACCACGTGCGATTTGACGCGAACAGTGTGCCCCTATGTACGGCAACCCGAACCACAACCATGTCACTTGGCAATAGAGAATGAAATTTCAAAATATAAACTTCAGCCACCTCCGGAATATAAAAGTGAATTTTTAGCAGAGTTGGAAAGAGAAGAAGAAACAAGATTGCAAGAGAAACTAAAACGACAAGAGGAAGAGCAACGAAGATTAATTCAGGTAATTGGAATTCCGATTTCGCTGATAACGTTCCATTCTGTTGCGATGATTGTCTCAGAATTGTTTTGTGTTTTAGGAATTAGAACAGCCTCCACCGGATAAATATTTTGGGTACAGAATACATGCGTGGGTTGCCATTTTACCAGAATTAGGGGGGCTGAGGGACCACGAGTTTTCCGGGCCACTTTTCATCGAACCGTCTACCGGTGAATCTTATAGTCCAACGTATGATAATACAGATGGACTGTACCTAGGCGTTGAGAGTATATGGAACGATCAAAACTATTGGGTGAACGTACAACCGTTTTCGGAGACATGCTCAAAGATAATATGGGACTTGACAAAACTAGAATTATGGGAACACTTACTCCCCGGAGAACCATGGATAATGCGAGGAATAGGAGAAGCGATCGATGAAGATTCTGCTATATTACAGGAGAAACATTTAGATATGCCGATCTCGTACGTGCAGGAAATACAAATCAGCGACGAAGGTTTGAACTTTCTGTATAAAATATATGAAAATTCTTAAGTGTGTCAGTAAATATACTGACGCACATTTCATTGAAATGTTTCAGAGTTTGAAAGGCGATATCCGAATGGAATGAAAACGATATTTTATAAAAAAACAAAAGTTGAACTTTACATGCAATATTTGCAATCAGACGGTTTGATAAAGAGGATTTCTAAGTACGATGATTATGCTTACCTAAACCTCAAAGAAGTTCAAGAAATTTACGTGAATAGATCTGACAATCTTGTAGAATGTAGAAAGGATTTGACCAACAAGTCTGTGATTGATTTTTATGAAAAGGGCCGCCCAGATCAATGCAAGGGTATAATTTGAAATTTTTAGGGACATATGCGATTTGCGATCTTCTTAATCGACTCATGATAAAAATTACAGAACATCGATATTTCTTTGATGGTCCCAATACAGTAGACGCAGAACGTATTTTGGAATTTTATCACGTCGCACGTTTTGATGGACTCTCGAGATTGGAAATGCATCCAACTTATTTAAAACAATACTTTATCGAACGAGACGATTTTCTATATTATAGGTAGGTGGTAAAATGTTTTGTATACCACTTCAGTGGTAAAGAAGTTAATGTTTTTATTGGTTGGGAACAGGTACGTGGAGTTTTCACACGAGAATATTCCTTTATCCGAGGACATCCATTACCGGCAGATATCGGTACAGTAGAATTTATTACTTTGTAAAGCCGGGATTTTTATAGCGCGTAATTCAAATTACAGAAAATAGTAGAAGAATTTAACAGAAACGAAGCGATCAAGGCCAGTAAGAATATAGCAATTCGTGAGTTTGCTATCGATGAAAGTGAAATACGACTGACGTACCATTATGAAACTGGACAATACAGCAGAGCAACTAGAACGTACATAAAACCTCCACTTGCGGAAAGGGGAGACAGATTAATATTGAAACCTACCATGACACAAGGATATAATGTTAGCTCTTTGGCAACTTTGTTAATAACAATTTTAATCAAAAACACATTATATCTATTGATTCTTACAGCCTTTGAATGAACCTGACAAAGCTTTTGAATTATTTTGTGAACTAGACGCACAACTTATGGAGGAGGATCAATCTATAACTTCTGTCAGAAGTGCTGAAGTTGAAGTGTCCAACTTTTTGAATACCAGAAATGATGAATATTTATCACCGAAGTTATTAGTATCTATATTCAATAAAATCCGAGACGAGGAATCTATGGTCGAGATTATGGTACTGAAACGATGATAGCCAAATTACTTTGTTTATCAATTTCATTATTTAAAATTTCTGATTGTTGAACACAGCGCGACTGGTCTCGCGTTCAAAGTGAAAAATCCATGATGGATGTCGTTGATTATATGAGACCGTATTTGGCACGTTTGGGAAATCCAGAGGAATTACCTGTACAACAGGCATACTTACTACGAATCCAATGTCTTAACGATTATAAACAAGTACTCGTGAATAGAGCAAATAAAATCTTACGTAAATTCGACGAATGTTCACGAAAGTTGACGGGCCTGCAGGAAAAATTATTATTCCAGGTGAAACATGTTTCTTTTCTGTGAAATGATTTATGTAAACAAACGTTTCATAAAAACTCTTTGTACAGGGCAAAGAATTAACCCGTGAAGAAGAAGAAGAAATATTAGAAGAAATGAACAAAGTCAATTTTGACATGATAACTTTAGAAACCCAATTGAACCGTCACAGAGATTTAGTTCCACAGAAGTACAAAATGTTGGTGGACCACTTAGAACAGAGTTCGCACCTCGCAGTACTTCGGAGCACATTTTCTATTGTATGAGTTAAAAAACAACTCAAGTCTCAATAGAAACAAGATCATTCATTGAAAAGACCAAGAACCCATTTGTCCAATACAACGACCTGAAATACATATTTTTAAGAAAAAATATACGGAGTTGTTAGAAAAAAGTAATCTTCTACATCAATACCTTCGTCATCGAAGGTGGCTAATGTAAATTTGCTAAGTTTGTTCGTGAAGCTGCCCGTATTCGAACCTATTGAATGATCCGTTAAACGTTCAACATTTGCAACATCACCATTAGCCCCATGGCGGCGATATTCTTCAGCGAATCCAGAGATTAATGTATCCATCATTATTGCCTGAAGATAATTAGACATTTCAATACTTTTCTACACAGAACCAACAATTTAGTAGAATCGGGTCGTACTTGTCTCGAGAATACTTGTAGAATTTTATAAACGCGTGCTCCGTTCTCACGCACGGGAAATTGGAGAAATAAACAAGGCAGGCAATCCAAATTACTTTCATCAGAAGGTTTAGCCATCTCCCAACTGAGTTCTGAGTACTTCAGACCCAATAATAAACTCTGTATAGAAATTAATATTAAATTTGTGTATACTCAACAATTATACATTATGTGAATTAAGTTTCCTTACACATTGCATGTCATCCACAATGTACACTCCAGATGAATTGATAGCTATAAGAACTTGCATATCGCGATTCGTGATCCATGATGCTAAACCTCTTACAGGACGCTCAATCTGTCCTTGAAAAAATGCTGCACCATAGCACGGTAAACTCCAACAGAATTCCAAATACTTTCTAATAAGTTTTCTCGGATTCGCGTTAGTCCCTGTGTGATTAGGTATTCGCTTATACTGTTCAAGAAGTCGTGCCTCCGGTGCTCCTTTCCCTCCCACCAATCCTAATCCAAGACCTAATCCTAACAGTAAACTAGGGGATGTGTAATGATGTGGTAAGAATCTACCACGATGTCTTCTGAAAAATGCTAAAGTATGACTTTGTGGATTGTAAGGGCCTAGCTCAATACGAGCTTGTAGTGCACCCAAACTGGCATATCGAGCTTGTCCTTCGCATGGATATCTTCCTAGAATTGTTTTAGTATTCATTATTTGTATATATCATAATTGACCCTTGAAATTTTCCATTATCAAATATCTTATACATTGATTGAGACCATCATATAGTTTTTTTTACCTTGCAGTACATTATTTCTAGCTTCTGCATACAACAACTCTAACACTTTAGCTTCTTTTATTTGTTCTTCATCTACTCTAGAAAGGAACACATTCCTTCGAAGAAAGAGTAAAGGTTCCTCATCACACTCTTCATTTTGAGAACTATACTTTCTTACTAAACGATTCCATTTTGCAGCTAATTCTATGGGCTTGTGATTTGGACGTAATTGAACTTCTAAGCTGGAGGAACAGAGCCACAAGGCAAACACTGTTTGACCAGTAAGCAACGAAGCTCTTGTTAATCCTAATTCTCCTTCAGATTGTATTAATGCCAGAATTTGTTGTGCAGTAAAATTTTGTTCAATGTCCATTGTTAAGAATACTCCAGTCATTAAATATACAGCTATTCGAACAGTAGGTCTACTAACGTTCAAATATTGTGGCTGATTTGTCATCATTGCTAAACAAATCAATGTTATTTGTATTAAATTTTTTTTTATATTATTCTAGTACTATTACTTACAAGTTGATGTATGCCCATCAGCTTTGTAATCATTTTGATAACGACGAATCGGCTGTCCTCTTCGAACAGTGCAATCGTCTTGTGCTTCCATATTTTTTCAATTTCTATCTGACTGAGTGTAATTTATTTGACATTGTACTTTACCTACAAATTATCATTCAAATTTATGAAAATATATCTTATTACATTGGAAATGTTCTTTCTTATTAGTAAATATTTGCACTGAGTTTACTGTCATATTTAACACTGTAACATTAGGCAATGTATGATATTTTACATAGTACTACAATTATGATTTATACTGAAAAAAGCTAATTTTGTGTATGTAAAACAAATAGAATTTCCCTGTATTGTAAAATTTGTGTTTAATATTTGCAAGGTACTAAATCAAAACACTGCTCTGCTGCCATCTAAACTGAAAGACCAGTTATTGATTATTTTAATTCACTAGCATGGGGGTTTTTTCATCAATGAATTGTAATTATTATTAAGAACAATTTCTCGTAGTATATATTACATCCACTCTAATACAATAACAAATACTGTAATAAATGTTTTTATTAGCTCCATCATCTGTTAAATACAAGTAATATAATATAATTATTGTAATACAAGGTACAAAGTAATTTTATATTTTTTCTGTTTAGATTCATCCTTCTATTTCTGTTAATTTGTTATTCTTTACAAAATCAATAACATTTATGTTTATTTTTACATTTAACATAGTGCTTTTGAAAATTAAAAATGTGCCCATACATATACTTAGTTACATCCTTTAAGAGTGATATACTCTTCTGAGAGTAATTTCACCCTTAAATGCACATTTTGTAATCAAAGAAATGTATAAAAGCAAAATACAATGAAAGTGAAGTGCGAAAAATTGTTTTTCGCATAAAGTCTTAATCAAAACCATCATTAGTTCTACAGTTTATATTAAGTCCGCTACATTCATAGGCATTTCGTCAATTTGTGTGGAGTAATATTGTTCAATATCTCGCAGAATCCTGATGTCGTCAGTTTTGACAAAATTAATGGAGACACCTTTTCTGCCGAAACGACCCGATCGACCTATTCTATGAATGTACAACTCACGATTGTTGGGTAAATCATAATTGATTACAAGAGATACTTGTTGTACATCTATTCCTCTTGCCCAAACGTCTGTTGTAATTAATACACGACTGAAACAAAGAAAAATACCATAAATACTAGTATTATTTAAAATACTATTTTAGGTACATTAGGAATATTACCTCTGACCAGATCTGAATTCTTTCATAATGTTGTCTCTTTCTTTCTGAGGCATATCACCATGCATAGAACAAACTGTGAAATTCGCCTCCCTCATTTTCTCTGTTAACCAATCTACTTTACGTTTAGTGTTACAAAAAATGACTGCTTGTGTTATTGTCAATGTGTCATACAAATCACACAATGTATCAAATTTCCATTCTTCTCTTTCTACAGCAACAAAGAACTGCTTTATCCCTTCTAATGTCAATTCATCACTGCAGAGAATCATGACTTAGTGAAAGTGAAACAATGATACTGGGTTGATCTAACGAGCTATAACTTACCGTTTGACCAAGATCCGAACAGGGTCTGTCATAAATTTACTTGTCATTTCAAGAATTTCGTGTGGCAATGTGGCAGACACTAATACTACTTGAGTTGCAGGTGGCAAATATCTATATACATCATAAATCTGTTCTTTGAAGCCTTTGTTTAACATTTCATCCGATTCATCAAGAACCAACATTTTTATTGCCCTAGTCCTGAGGACTCGTCTTTTTATCATATCTAAAAATATCATAAAATAAAATATACATTGATTTCACATTTGAATGTTAGCTTTATTAACTGTGTAGCATATTCACCAAATACTCTCCCAGGTGTTCCAGATACTACATGTTGCCCGTAATCTAACTTCCTGATATCCTCTCCTAGGTTAGTGCCTCCAATACAGGCATGACATTGAACATTCATAAAATCTCCCAATGCCAGAATAACTTTTTGTATTTGTGTTGCCAATTCTCTTGTGGGGGATAAAACTAATACTTGTGTTTCTCTGACTTGTGTATCCAAAGATTGTAGTATAGCAATTGAGAATGTCGCTGTTTTTCCTGTACCAGATTGAGCTTGTGCGATCACATCTCGTCCTTTCATAATGGGTTTGATAGATCGCTGTTGAATAGCTGACGGTTTTTCAAAACCTGCAATCGAAGCATGATTTCTGGTATAATTAGAACTAATAACATTAGCGAAATAAGATTGACTGTAGATCGAAAGTAGGCGAATAGGTTATGTTTACATTCTAAGAAAAGTACAAAATTAATATATTACCGTAAGCGTAGATTCCTCGCAATAACTCATCTCTAAGCCCCATATTATCGAACGTGGGGATAACTTCCACATCTTCACTGGTTTCGAACTCAACATTTGATAAATCTTCTGTTTGTGCGACGCGACGTGACTTTATTTCCGCCATTTTTGCCAATAACTTGAAGAACGGTGAACATAAACGATTTTAATACTTCAATCAGGCTAGAAAACTTTGTACAGAAGCTACATGCAATTGGTCTGGTTAAATTATTATAGTTATTCTGTAGATTTATTAAATGTAATGTCATGGATTAATTCCTTCTCATTCGACATTACATGTTAAGAAGTATTAAAATATAATTCAAATTGTTTTCTTATATAAAGGTAGATAAAATTTTATCGTATTGTGATGTAGGCTTTAGCTTTTTAGTTGAATAAGGTCTATTCACAGTTCACAGTGATACTAGAGGTTCTTTTATAACCGTAAGCAATTCGATTTAAAGTTAACTGTTAAATAACACTGTTTTTAATATTACAAGAAATATATTGACACAATTATCGTTACGAATAAGGCATGTGTTCGCAAATTTAAGGAAGTACTATTACGAAAGAATATTTCGTTTAAGACAGGTTATGCATTAATTTGTTTGGAACCACAGTAAGAAACATAGAGGACGAAATGGATATTAATGTAAAATTAGATGAACCTTTGACAAGCAACGCCTGTGTAAAACTCGTAATTGAACTTTTGAAGTATATTTTATATCAAAAGCAGCAAATACCGTTTGCATATGAATCGTTAACTCAACTGCAAATGAATATGAAATCAACAGATAGGAATTTAATTTCCATAAAGAAATTACTACAATCTTTAAAAAACACATCAGAACAATTGAGTTCACAATTTCATCTCACCAACTGCAAAGTCAAAGAAATCGCTATACTCATTGGTGCTACTATAATATCACCAAAATTACATATTAAATTGGAATTACCGTCAGATATTCTCAATAGTCAAGAACATTATGAATGTAAACACGCATCTAGGAAACCTTTGTTAAACCTCATGAGGTCAGTAAACAGTGACATTTATTATTAAACTTATTTGGTCATTTATAATATTATATTAAAATATTACAAAATAATATTTTTAGGTCTATGTCAGAATGTTCTGAATTTCAAGACGCAATAAGTTCACCATTAACTCTTACAAACACTTTTGTATTATTAGAAAAAAGTGATAGTAATTTAATATCTGAATTTTTTCTACCTAAGCCATACTATATACCACCAATAAAGAATTCAAAGTGTTTTATAATTAAATTACAACATAGTAACCAAATAAAAATGGATTGTAACTGCATTGATTTAGTGAAAATTTATAACGAATTATCTGAATCTGACAGTAAGAAAACTGAGGACATTAATTTCTTGAAAAATTCAAATGAAAATATTACAAATGTTCCTTTTCAATGGTATCAATCCAGAGAAGTAATTAAGGGATTTAAATTTATAAGATGACCATAAGATTGCCATAGGAAATTAAAGTTATAGCATAGCTTTTATTAATACAAAATTTATGGAACAATTGAAAAAAATATTATTGATAAAACATTTTGTACTAGATAATTATGTTATAAAATTTATCAATCAAGATATTATAGAAGTATATTAATAGTTATAATAATTGCATAGATCATGCTTTTTAAACATTTTTTCTGACTAATATTAATGACATAAAGTATTTTGTTTTTTACACTGAAAATATCATGATTATAATTAAAACTTATACATACCTCAGAAACAATTTTGTTAAATATATGAAATATATATAAAAG